TTTGAAATGTTTCGCGATTGGAATAGATCCTTGCTAGTGGTATGTGAAGTAAAACACCAATTGAGTGGAATTACACTTGACCTTTTAGCTAACCGAAAGGCTCACAGCGCGTGTGGTCCCCCCCCCCCCCTTACTCCGTTTATGATTCACCCTGTAATAAGTGGGGATTGTACTTCTACATTTACACGTGTAACGTGTAAGGAAAATCAATTACCTTAATGTCTTATCTAAAGCCTGCTTATCTGACTATTTAGGGGGAATAGGAGACAATGTTTAGCCATTAAAATCGTACAAAGTACCATTTTTATTTTTTCACTGCGTAATCTTCTGAAACATCAGTTCTAAAATCCAATTAAGCTTCATTTCCAAGCTGATATTCCTACAGGCAATGGAAAGGGTAACCTACTGTATGCATTTTTATTTTAATGTACCGTGATGCTTATCGTAGATCAGGATATTTATAATTTCAGTGAAAAAACTTGTATAGTTGGATTTCACAGCGGAAATATATTCTTGAGAATAAATGAAAAAGTTTTTCAAATAGAGGTACAAAATAATATGCTGAGCAAGTTTTTTATTAACCGTCAAAGTTGAAAACAAATATTTTTTCCAGATATTCCAAAAACTATGAAGTATTGGTAAAACTACATAAGAGAAAAGTTGTAGAACATGAAAATACGTTCAAAATGAGACCTTATATTTTAATTTGATGTAGCAGTTAATCTTTTCCTCGTAAAAATAGCCAATTTTAAAATTCCTTATCTACCAGAAAATGCATAAGAAAAAGTGTAGAATAGCTTTTTGCGGTGATTGAGATCTACAAAAAGTTCTATCCAAAGCACTGGACATATTCTGGAAATATATATTTGCTGCTAAATTTAGGTTAATGGTAATTTTTTACGAGCTGTTTGGCGACGTAGACGCTGCAGTAAAACAAACAAACGCCGCCTCATTTTATAGGTCCTTTCATCCTCTACATCTCTTCTGAAAACCACTTTGACTAACGCTTTATAGGTTTTTTTTCATATACGCGAAAAAATGATTTTCCAACTTTGACGTTTAATGAAAAAGTTACACAGAAAAAGGTTCTGTATCTCTAGATCTAGACGAAAAAATTTTTATTCATCCTTAGCATCCGTCTACGTCTATGTCTGCATAATATTTTCTAGAGCAGGTTACGTTTTTGGCTAGCTAGCCTGATCTACGATCAAACATTGAAAAAACGTGATAGCCCGTATTCACAATTCAACATAACATCAACATAGTCTGCAGTACAGCAACTGCTATATGAAACTATTGACTAGCCTATTTTCAGCAGATGATACCCCGCTCTTCCCTAGCTTGTAAGAATTTAAAATCTAAGGTGCTCACCCATAATAACTGAACATAGTTCCTTTCAATAAAAGGATGAAAAATCCCATCTGTTGATTGTTTCATTCACTCAGATCAACTTCCTTGATAAAGAATGAGATACTTTTACACGATAAATGTAACTTTGAAATTATGCATGCTGACTGGCATACACCCAGAAAAAGGATTTAGCGTATCTGAAGTGTCTCGCTACCTCCTTTTTATGTCGAGCACAATCTTCATGATAGTTTTGCTATGCTTGCAATTTGTTTATACAGATGAAGCACCTACTGTGATGATTATAGCAGACTTCATTTCCTGCGTCTTCATTCTTTTCCACGTAAGTAAGAATTGCTTCAACAACTGGAGAGCAGATTAGGTCCAGCGTTATAGTTATTCTTGAAAATAGATAAAAACTGCTTGTACGTACGAAACAGTTGAGAAGGATTTGACTTAAACATCTGCTTGTTTCAAAACCCGAAAATATGCATGAAAAGAGAAAAACCTGATTTAGGTAAAAATTGGACCGAACATCTTGTACTGGATACTTTATATGAGTAAATGACACTCAGTTGTTTAATATCTGTCTTTTTGTTGATACAGTTGTTATTCATGAAAATGTGGGACATATTTGCTAAACTGCGAAAAATTGGAGAACTTACTTATCTCCCCAAATTTCGACTTTTCACAACCATAAATATAATCTGTGTTTTGGCCGATTCCACCAACAAATTTCATTCCACTCAAAATCTAATAATTCTCTTCTCACGATTTATTAATAATTATTAATTTAAAATTCCCATTAATTAAAATATAGTTTATTCAACTGCCTCTGGTCGGTTTAACAATTTCTTACATAACATTCTGGAAATCACATCATCTTAAGTGATTTGGCAACTTTTTGGCACACGCCCACAATTCATTCCATCTTTCAACACAGACATTGACAACCTTCGGCCTTCTGTCAAAGGTTCATCTCACTCATTATTCCATGACCACCATTTTATGCAATCATCAAGTGGTTTCACGACGTAATGCTCTAATGTTTTCTAAATAATTTTTAATCTGTCTTTAACTTGTCTTGTCATATTTTACATAATTTTAACCATTGTACCATGTATCCAGCTCTCACCATGTTACTGGACGTTTCCCTCATCCTATACGAAAACAACAATTAGCAACATCCTCACATACTACTGTAAGTTGATTCAATTTAAATTCATTTTACACTTTTGTTGCTACTGTTATCATTGTAATTGCAGCTCCTGATGATGATGGCAAAGTCCATTGAAAGCTAGAGAGAATTAAAAAAAGTATAAAGAGTCCTCTTTACTTAAATTTTGTCGAAGTACCCAACAAAAGGCGGAAGCTTTAATTTTTCACCTAACTGGTCTAAACGACAATGACCACGTCTCAAATTATATATATATATACTCTTTTCTATGCTGAAGCAGTCGCGTATGCGGAAACTTAAGCCGCGGCACCGCGTCTGCTATAATGAACTCAAACACCATCCGATTTTTCAACTACCTAACGTTAGTAGGAAGTGGAAAAAACTTTCTCAGGCAGACTGTTCCTCAATACCGACACGACAGTTCTCGATGTGCGATGTTCGACCCAGAAGAGCTCTGTGGAGCAAGGCTTATTGACATAGCGGTAGAAGAGAGCAAGATCGCCGACCGCCCGTCAGTGCACAAGGATTCCGAGACTGTCTGTTAGAGAAGTGTCATTGATCAGTCAAGCAGCCCTCATCTGAACAACATCGAACATGGATAATGTAGTCGGGGCGGCAGCACCCAAAACATGTAAGCAGTACTCGAGCCTTGGGCTTATCTAGGCCTTGTACAGAGTTTAGGAGGTTGTGTGGAGAAAAGTACTTCTTAGTCCTAAACAAATAACCTAGCGTTTTACCGGCAGCTGCTGTGCTGGACGAGATAGTTAATACTGATTTTAAAGAATTCAATAATATTATCAAATAAGATTAATGAATCTTAAAAGTTTATTTTTCTTATTGTAGTTTTAAAATAGTTTAGTCTCAATTAACTTTAAGTCTATTCAATTTTATGAATAACTTGCGGACAGTTTGTATTTATTACGTTCTAGTTTGTGGCGTTTTAGTTTTTAAGCAGTTTTAAAAATTCTCCTAATATAAGTAATAAAACCCAACAATAAATCTATATGATTTGTCCTCTTGAAAAGGTATAAAATAAAACCTTTGTAATGATAAATAAATAATTAACTTAAAGGTGTAGTTCGATTTATTAAATTTAAAAATATAGGTAAAATTATTTTTCTCTCAAATTGATATTTTTTATGATATCGACTTTTTTTAATCGTAAAACTTCAAAAATGTTGAGTCACGTGTATTTTAAGACCTTTTTTGTTAACACTTACTGATAAAGTATTTGTCTACATAGACAGCCCAAAATAACCATCTACTTTCTATTATTTTACAGCTACAAAAAGCTAATACAGCAACTACAAAGCTGTAATTTGAAAATAAAAGACAGCTGCAAAGCTATTTTTTATTGGTACTCGTATTTCGCAAGTATTGCGGCTTCAATGACAAAAGATTCAGTTTTTAGTAAAAAAAACCTACAAATGTTATACTAATTTTGAAAGAGCATTAAAAAGCTAGTTTTTAATGTAATTTGCTAATTCAGTCTGGGTACATTTCTTTCATAGTAATTAGTCAAACTTTAATAAAGGTTTATGCATTGAAATCAAAAATAAATTTACTTTTTTTTTGGCATACCGTGCTAGTTTTCAATGAACTGAATACTCGGTTGTCTCAACCAACTATTAATTGTAGCCCAGAAAAAAATCATGTTATAAGTTCTTTATAACCATACAGGCAAAAAGTATGGATTTTTTGAAAAAACTTAAAAGTGGAAATATCTCGAAAACTAGAAAACTTTTACTAAGGACATGTTGATTTCATCTCATTGATCTGAAGCCATTCTACGCCCCGTGTCACTCTAGCGTGTTAGTTCTGGGACACCCTGTTTATAAACAACTAAAGATACTATCTATTACATGTTAAGAATTAGGTAAATTATCTTCGAAAGTACATTTATAAGCATATTTAAGTTTGCTTCAAAAATGCGTGTGGTTAAAATGTACTTAAACTGACTTTAAAAGTACTTCCATAACAATTTTAAAAACAGTTGCTCGCTACTAATATACCTGTATCGTGTAAGTAACTCAAAAACCGAACTTAGACGAATTGCAAATATCAGTTTTTTGAAATAAAAGGTTGACTATGCCAGAAAATCATCTTAAACGTAAAAAACAGCGATATGATTTTTGGATGTTTCAAAATATTGCTCTTTCTAGCCTTTTTACTACGCCAAAAAAAAGTACACCGATTTTTAAAAATGAAGAAGCGTACCACCTAAATCATATTCTTTTAAAAATGTCACTATAATCGATGCGCTGTTTCCGACAATACGCGATTAGGAAGACGTCAATCAACAGACCGACAGACAGACCGAAGGTAATGTGTGACCCGGATTTTCATAATGCAGACGTAATAAAACGTCAAAAAGTTGGAAATGTTCGCAATCACTACCCTTCCGTATCTTATAGGTACTATGAAAAATTACGAATGTTTCTGCGACACCTCAAAAAAAATATATATTTTTTTTAAGGGAATGGTGAAATGTACTACAATGTTCCTAAACCGGGGAAAGATCCTAGACTTACTACAACGAACAAATGAGGGTTTTTGGGAATTCAAATATACAGTATCACCTGTTAAGAGGGAGTGTCTACAACCATTAGACAGTTTGAAGAAAGTTTTCCATATCTACGTCACAATTTATATGCTTGCATTAACTAGTTTTGTTCTTTTTCCGGTAAGTATGGATAGTCAGTTATTTTAAATGCTCGACTCTAAGTTAAGACTATAAGAAAAAAAATGCTAGTGCGATCGTATTGATATACCCAATCTGGAAATAAAAGAATAACAAATTATTAACTGCCAGAGTTGGATGGAAGATACAGGTCTTACAACTCTTAGCCCAGTACAGGGCTGCCAGTCATTACTTATTTTCCAGGGTTGACACATTGGGGGCTATTCCCCTAAATTAGGGGAATATTTACGTCCCTAGGGGAATCTTGGGGGATGAAATGATCTGGGGTTTTTTATGGGTGAATAACCGTTGGGGATATTTGGTTTATTTTATACCATCTTCAACTACGAAACTGCTAAATAACTATTTTATCTTTCTTAAGTTTTTTCTTAGCCCATGTCACTCCCATCTCCACACAACATCTACGCTGACTCATCTCTACACCCTTATGTCAATTGTAGGTTGGTACACGTGCCGTAGTCATAGAACGCAGACAGATGGAATAAGTTGTGAACTGGCCGGTTGATTTAGCAATCTTTGTCACATAATGCGTCTTTTGGGAAAAGGAACTAGACTCTTGTCTTCTCGATTTTGCACGAATTTTCTCGTTTTGTAGATCCACGGGTCTTCGATTACCCATTCCCCAAATAACGAAATGATAGCGAATGCGCGTATCGTTCTGCGATCATGCCCAATCGTGGCTTAATAAACAAGTAAAAATATATTATAGATAAGCTGTTATTTGTATATTTGTAACATATTCAAGTATATAGATGGCTTAAACGCCTTCTATGAGACCCTACCAAAGTGTATATAAAACTGGGGAAACAGCTGTGACACATTCTCATAGATGACGCTACGGTATATCATTTCCTCTCGAAAAGCTTTTTGGACGCGCGAATGTAGCATTAGGTTGGCTATCTTCAGGTAGAATACGTTAATCAATGCTATGCAAGTAACAGATTAAAAAAACAGCATCGCACGCCACTGCTAACGCGGTGGGCGTGTTTGTACCAATCCCAAAAACACAGTAGCGTACAATGCGTTACGCTATATGCTATACAGGGTGTTTCAGTTTATTGTTGCATAACTTTAAAATTCGATAGAACTTTTAAAATTAATGCATAAAGTCTATATAAACATGGGTCGAAAAATGCGTGGCTTCCGAAATACGGAATTAAATTAATTACGTAAATTTACTTTCTAAAATAGTTTTATTTAAATATTTCGAACAATATTTGATGTACAACAGTGAAAATTGGTATACAAGGGTTTTTTGGTACGAAAAAACGAACCATGGGCATAGTTTTACTGTAGCCGCTAGAGGGCGCTCTCTACTGTACCTGTAGTGTATTAAAATGAGCGAAAAATTTTTCTTAGTGCAATTTTTTGCTTTTTGAATAAACATGCTGATTCTTCGCACTTTTCAACATAAAAAAGCTCTCCTGTGAGTTTTCGTTATAGTTAGCCGTTTTTGAGATATTGCGATTTTTAATTATTTATGATAAAATAACGTTAAAAAGTCAATATCTCGATAATTTTTAGAAGTAGGCTGTGCCTGAAAATATTTTTGAAATTGAAAGCAAAATAAGGTTGAACGTCAATTAGTTGACAGTTAGTTTTGTTGTCTGTTGAACCCTGAAACGTTTTTTTGCAATTGTGAATGCACGACAGTTAGTTTCTTTTACCTGTTTTTTTTTTGTAAGTTTTATAAAAATGCCATTTTTATTGTCTAATCAAGTGTTAGCGGATATTCATTTTGTGTATGGCTTTGTAAATGGAAACGGAGCAGAAGCAGCCAGAGAATATGCACGAAGATTTACAAACAGACGACATCCAACTCGCTCAGTGTTTGTAAGAGTGAATCGCCAAATGGTTTTGGAAATCTCCAAAGGGATCAAAACATAAATGTTCATCAACGCAGATTTACCCGTATGATTCTGCGTGAGTTTGATAGAGATCCGACCACAAGTGTTAGGAGAGTTTCTGGTGCCTTTGGAATTTCAGCAAGCCATGTTCACCGTGTTCTTAGAAATTACCGTATACGTACTTACCATTTGCAACCTGTGCAAGGACTACAGCCAGGGGACGGAGAACCAAGAATCACATTTTGTCAGTGGATTCTTTATAGAACTGATAATAATAGGGAGTTTTTAAGTAACGTTTTATGGACCGATGAGTCATGCTTCACTAGACGTGGAGTGGTAAATTTTCATAATCAACATATTTGGTCGCATGAAAATCCGCATGCAGTTCGGGAAAGAAATTTTCAGCATGAATTTAGTGTGAACGTGTTGGTATCTACCGTAATCGACTATTTGGTTAAATGCTGCGACCTTTTTGGAATTTTTAAAGGCTGAACATGCAAATATGTGGGATGATGTTATGTTAGATTTGAGAAGATTGGCCTGGTTCCAGCTTGATGGTTGTCCAGCTCATTATTCGAAAATAGTTAGAAACTGGCTGGACGAAAATTATCCAGAAAGATGGATCGGCCGTGGAGGACCAGTCGCCTGGCCTCCACGATCCCCTGACCTAAATCCATTAGATTTCTTTGTGAGGGGATTTCTAAAAGAAAAAGTGTACCAGACTCCCGTAACCACAAGAGATATGCTAATAGACAGAATCAGGAATGCATGTGATGAAATAAGGCCTTATTTGAATAATGCTATACCACGTTCGATCATTCCGTAGATGTGAATTGTGTATCGAACAATTGGGTTTACATTTCGAGCAACTACTTTAGATTTTGTATGTTTGTCCTAACTATCCAATAGCATTTTAGTTTTAAATAATTAATTTAATTTGTTAAAAATAATATTGGAAAATTAAACAAATTAATATTCTGTTTTTTGTGTTTATTTGGAGTTAGGAATTATTGCTGTGTTTAAAAACACAATCTAAACGATCATCTTAATTACTTGTAATGCCCAAATCGAAAATGTTTAAAAAAAATATTATTTTCCCATAAAATAAATAAAAATGCATCGAACCTTAAAAATCGGAATATCTCAAAAACGGCTAACTATAACGAAAACTCACAGGAGAGCTTTTTTATGCTGAAAAGTGCGAAGAATCAGTTTTTTTATTAGAAAGGCAAAAAATTGCACTAAGAAAAAATTTTCGGTCATTTTAATCCACTACAGGTACAGTAGAGAGCGTCCTCTAGCGGCTACAGTAAAACTATGCCCATGGTTCGTTTTGTCGAACCAAAAAACCCTTGTATACCAATTTTCACTGTTATACATCAAATATTGTTCGAAATATTAAAAAAAAAACTATTTTAGAAAGTAAATTTAAACACCCTGTATTTCGGAAGCCACGCATTTTTCGACCCATGTTTATATAGTCTTTATGCATTAATTTTAAAAGTTCTATCGAATCTTAAAGTTATGCAACAATAAACTGAAACACCCTGTATAAGTTGAGAACATACAGGGTGTTCATTTGAAAACTTCCCACCACGGATTTATCGAAAACCACTGATTAAAAAAACGCCGAGACACGTCAAAAGATTTTTCAAGGGGCACAACTTTTTAAACAAGACCTACTTCATCCCCAGGGTCATCCCCTTAAAAATTTTAAATGACAAGGAGTATCGAATTTTAGCTTGTTTGGAAGGTCTTTCAATGTCCTTTATTTTGACGTTTGATTTTTTAAAATCGGTCGACTCGTTTTCAAGAGAATTAGAAGAATCTTTATTTATCTTAATTTGTTCAGATAGAAAATAAAAACACACGAAAGTATCGCTTTTTATTTCAATAAGTGTTCAAAATGTTGACGGTTATTGGCCAAACAATGATTTATACGATGTTCAAATTCCTGACGGATGTTTTCAAAAACATGTGGAATATCATGGCAGCTTTAGATAATGCGTCGACGAGGTTCATCCAAACTTTCAGGTCGGGGTGTAAACACAATAGATTTCAAATAGCCCCACAGAAAAAAGTCTAATGGTGTCAAATCAGGAGATCTAGCAGGCCATTCAATAGACCCTCTTCGCCCTATCCATTTATCTGGAAACTCGTCGTATAGCCATTGCCGAACCGGAAGAACATAGTGCGAAGGAGCGCCGTCTTGCTGGGAATATATTGCAGCCTCATCAAATATAGGGTTTCCACCCTCTTCGATTCTGTTTTCTATGGTTTCAGTGATAAGCGGATTGATCGTATTTGCCAACATATCCAAATAAATGTCTCCATTCAAATTTCCATTATTAAACTCGATCACTTCGTTTCCTAAAATGCCTGCCCATACATTAATTTTTTGGTATTACTGGGTATGCCCTTCTACATTTAGATAAAATGCGCATTCATCATTGAAGCAGATATTTTTTACATGAATGGTATTATCATTAATCGCTGCAGTTCACAAAACTCAACTCGCGTATCCAAATCATCTTCGGTTAACTCTTCCAATATTTTCATTTTGAATGAATGAAATTTGTGGAGTTTAGTAACTGTGTGAACAGAGCCTAATGAAATTCAAATCGCCGCAACAATTTTGCGTAATGCGTATGCGAAGTTATGTTCCCCGGATGTCTGGCGTTAAACGGCAGTTTGCCGAGCACATTGATTCTGGGCACCATAAATTAGAATCATTTCTACTCTTTTGGCTAGTGTGTACACCATTTTGGAAGTAAAATCTGAATTAATTTTCATTATCCCAGGATTGTCACAAACTGACGGCAAACTAAATTCTTTCTTTACCTTAGCAACAAATAACTAAACAGGTATAACAATAAATACAGTTCACCCAGGATATCTGTGTTGATGAAAAGAATCAAGAAAAACATTCGGGCAACATTTTGAACACTTATTGAAATAACAAGTGATATTTTCGTGTGTTTTTGTTTTCTATCTAAACAAATTAAGATACATAAAGATTTTTATAATTTTCTCGAAAACGAATTGACTGATTTTAAAAAATCAAACGTCAAAGTAAAGAACTCCGAAAGACTTTTCAAACAACCTATTACTCGATACCACTTGTCATTTAAAATTTTCAAGGGAATGACCCTAGGGGGCAGAGGGTGAAAGGGGGTGAAGTAGTATTTGGTTAATAAGTTGTCCCATTTGACAAATCTTTTGACTTGTCGCGGCGTTTGTCTTTTAATCAGTGGTGTTCGATAAATCTGTGGTGGGAAGTTTTCAAATGAACACCCTGTAAATTGAACAACATTGCTTTTGAACAGGTATTTAGCAAAGGTGAAGAGCTAATTTACGAAAGCTACCGACCTCCATGGTTGCCATACTACGCCATACTCCTGCTGGAGCAAGTTACTGGAATAATGTGCACACTCTTCACGATGTTACCGGTAGACTTCATGTTCATGTCCCTTATCAACCTCACATTGGTGCAGTACAAATTGTTAAATTTGGAGTTGAGGCAACTGTTTGATGCTAAAGGCAAGATGACTAGTGAGGTGCTGAACAGGAAGATCGGGGAGTGTGTCAGGCATCATGCTTTTTTATACGAGTAAGTTTTCCATTTTAACCCAGTAACCAGCGCGACATTGAGAAATGTAGCAAGATGTGCTTTTCCGAGTCAGTCAAGGAACGAGTCTTCTGCTTCCATCAGTATACAAAATACGGAAAGTTTGAAGTTCCAAACATCCGAACTAGGCGATACAGCGGCAGTGTTGTCGCTTCCACTGCCGCCGCGCCACGCTGAATCGTTTATTGTCAAACATGACATCAAACTTTTTAGAAAAGATCATCTCTCAACCTTCATTGCAATTATTCCTAAGATTTCACATTCTCACAATTTTTCAACAACAGAAGAAGAAACTCTATAAATTGTGGAGGTAGCAAAGTTGACACCCCAAGATGATGATCGACAGGTACATAGATCTAAGTGGTTGGCGCCCCTAGCGCACGTATGCTTATTTTCGTTCAGTCCACTTGGATTGGACATTTCAGTCTGGTCGAATACGTTAATTGTATTTTATATTATGGTCTTTCAGACACGCGAGGAGTTAAAACAAATTAAATCTGATAAACGGATACTCTAGTACAGTCTTACCAAATTGTGGGTCGCGACCCTCTGGGTGGTCGCAATGAGGTACTAAGGAGGTCACCCAAAATTTTCAAAATAAAATAAAAACACCACTTTGTTAAATCATGTATTTCTAATTTAATGATGCCGTAAATGAAAATTAACTATCTTTCACACCGAAGCAGCCGCGCAGGCAGAAGCCTAAATTCAAGAACACCGCAGCAGCTAAGAGGAGCTGAAAAAAATTTGTTAATGCGATTTTTGATCTGCCTAAGATTAGTTGAACTGAGAAAAGCCTACTCATGTAGATTGCTCTAATGTTCTCAGTAATAACCTCCACGCCTCACGTCAGAGGAAATGTCGCTGCTAGTCTTATTATCTCCAGCTCACCAGAAGAGATCAGCTTGTTACTCTAAATTTCTGCATTAAGAGTCTGTCATCAGCAAAGCTGTGGATTGGATTTTCCGATTGGTCTTTGATATGTAAGAGGAACAATGTCGGAGTCAAGACCGATCGCTGGGGAACACCTGTATTGACGTTGAGGGATGGAGAAAAGAACCCGTCAATTCCGATGGATATCTTGCGGTCAGAGAGGAAGTCAGCCACCAAATAAAACACAGTATCAGATCGCAATTATTGAAATGATGGTTGAACTCTTTCAATGTATTTTTTTAAAACGAAGTTCAAATTTAAACAGTGAAGTAAAATTTACTTGTAAATTAGGCACGTTATTTTTGACACTACTTTCATTTTGGTGCTGAGTAGGAGGAAATAGGCGGGTCACAAATATTTTTTAACAAAAAGGGGTCGCGCTTTGTGTAATTTTGAGAAACAGTGCTCTGGGGAATGGTGTTTTCCTTTTTATAGCATCATGTTTGCACCATAGCAGTTACAAGAATGTACAATTTCGAATTCGACATATTTTTTTATTTCGAAAAACAAGAGAACTACGGATACATGTACGAGTATTACATAGCGATATAAAGGAGTACTGGACGAACGCTGACTAACTAATGTTGCGTATGCAGCAGATACGAAGTCTGTAAATCAAGTGACGGTACTGATTTTTTAAATTTATTTATTCAAATATAATTACAATTTTATATTGTCACCCTCAAAATAACTTTCTTCCGTAGCCAGCCAGGAGACGGTTCTTCCACTCCTCATAACATTTACTAGAATAACCATCATCAGCTCGTCGGTTACAGTCGTTTGAATGTTTTCGACTGAGGAGCTACAGGAACGTTTTTACTGACCAAGTTTAACTCCCCGATCATTCTGGCTGTCAACCGACGATCTGAACGCTCAAAATCCCTGATTCTGTCGAAATAGGGAGGTTCGCCATTTTTTGATTTTTACTCAAATCGAGAGATTTTGTTATTAAAAAGCGATAAAAAAATTAGCAAAAAATATTGATATTTACGTTGACTAAAAGCATTTCAAAATCAAGAATCGGCGCGAGGCTAGAAAACGTACCTGTGCGCGAGACTAGACCGCGTGACGTGAGTAGCTAGCTCACCCGCTGCATTTACCATTCTCACAACAACGCCCCAGTAATCAGTTTGGAGTAGTTAGAACTGGTACGATAGATTATTGTTAAATTCTGTGAACTTTGACAGTGTTAAATGTCGAACAGAAGGTGGTGCTTTGTGCCAAAATGTACAAGTACGTCAAGTACAACACCATAACAAATGTTTGTGAGTGTTCCAAAAGCTGCCGCACAACGTAAAAAGTGGTTTGACGCAGCTCGACGGGATGTAAAATCAGTTTCTTCCACGTCGACTATCTACTGCTGCGAAGATCATTTTGACCTGGAAAAAGATATGGAAAACCATCTACAATACAAGATTAGTACCGTTCCAGCCCGGATGAATCCTAATATTGCACCTCATAAATTTGCACGTCAACTGGGTAGACAATTAAGCTCTACGAAACGAGTGTTCAGCGAAAAAAGGGCAAGGCAGAAAGACATCGCCGAATATTTGCAGCCAGCGGCGGCACGCCGGGCGAGACCTTCAACCGAAAAGTCCGAGCCTGAAGGCGTGGAAGTTATTGAGGAGGAGCATGATGAACTGCCTGAACCTTTAACAGTAGAAGTTCAGTCACAGGTATGTGACAAGGTATGTCAAACCAAACAGGTACATTTTCGAAGCAAGTCAGTTCAAATCTCGCAAAAACGGAAAGTAATGGATGTTGCTGTATCGCCAATAAGAACTCCTGCGCTTGCTAAACAGATTTCAGAGCTGCCAAAAAAACGTTTGCAAGTGGAAAGTGAACGGGCAATCTTGAAAGTCCCGCAATAACAGAAACATCCGAATCTGATCCGTATGAAGTCAGTTTTAGCAGTACTGAAAGTAGTGACAGCGAAGCTGACCAGCTTATTGCCGAGATCGTAGTCATTCTAAACGCAATATTAGTAAACGTTTAGAACCTGGTTTCATTGCCCATCCCCCGAATGCAGCCCTAAATTTTGTTATTTTAGAAGCTATAAAATTCTATAATGTGACTGCCCCCCCCCCCCCCGATTTTAAGTATTCCCCAATAGACTCTAAAAAATAAGGTTCTCTCTACATCCCTGGAATTTCTCTCATTGAAAACATATTAGGTACCATACTTTACTTCAGAATAGTGTAATAAAGCCTCATTATGCATGCAAAAAGAACCAATTTCGGGGCTGTTAATAGACGTAACAAGGTAAAAAGATATGTATGATAATTTAAATTCCATAACATTTTACCTATAAAGAAAAAAGCAGAGATAAATAGCCTTCAAAATTATTGTCACGAGCAGGCATTATTATGTCTTAATATTATTAGCTTTCAATAGACTAAAGCAAAGTACTATATGATCAATTTTTGCGGAGAAATACAAAAAAATACTACCCATTGGAGCTAAACAAAAAAATAGCTTCATATAGGTACTTACCGAACTTCTTTAACACCGCTGCTCTGAGGTTCATTTACATTTGCATTATTTGCCAAAAACTCGTACACCATTTGCACATTCACATGAGGTAAATTTCGCGAATCAGCTTTCTGATAACCTTGGAGCATTGTGCTAGCACAAATAAGTAAAGTACACAAACGTCAGTCCCAGTTTATATAAATTCTTATTCGTCTACTCTTCACTCCGTATACAAGACACAAGATACAAGTACTCTATGAGGGCGACAGCACCTGTCTGGCTACTGACGTCACCCGGTCTAGTCTCGCGTACGTTTTCTAAAATGGCGTCGATCCTTGATTTTAAAATGCTTTTCGTCGACGTAAATATTAATATTTTGCACTCAAATTCCTTTGACCGTTTTTTTAATAACAAAATCCGTCGATTTTAATTAATTTCACGAAACATTCGCTATGGATAACCAAATACTGAAGGCGGATCACAAGATCAACTGTTGCCCTGTCTCCCCTCCAAGCCCGTAGCCTCCAGTGTTGCCAGATCGAACGCTACGTTCCCAGTTTCATCACTCAATTTACAAACCTCGTATATCAGCGTGCCATTGGGTTACCGATGGATGATGGGCCTTTCGTAGCCGAGATGAAGAATTTTTCATTGATTTTATTTCTTTGTAACACCAAAAATTTTTTTAAGCTTGACATTTTATCCCATCGAATCGATTGTAATACCAACAGAAAACCGAAAACGACATCCTGAATATTTAGAATTTATGAGCTTCATTTACATATTTGAAAAAGCATAAACATCTGGTTTTGACGGCTTTGGAAGACGATTCTTAACAAGCTAGAAATACTGATTTTGTTTATTTTGGAGTACAAGACGGGAGGGGTCCATTAATTTTGCCACTTTCTATAAAAGACTGCACTGCTCTACATAAAAGTTAGATTTAGAAGGTTATGTTACCGATTAATTGATTATGTGATTTGATGAAGCAGAGGATAGCTCGTTGCTTTTGTGAATGTTCGATAGGTCCGGATCTGTATTTCTTTTCCATTTCAAAATCGATTCGATGAGATAATCTGAGTCTGGGTACATGCACCAAATAATGTAAAAGGTGTTTTATCCATTTCGGCTATTTCTTTATGTATGTTTATGCACTCCGTATATTTTTTGAGCTTGGTAACTTGTTAAGATAGACTTATTCCAAATCTAACAATAATGCTGCGTTAAGTCTTGAATACTACCTAAGCGATAAAACTAATTACTAAAATTAACAAAATGAGTATCTCTAGCTCATACAAAATCGTCTGTTTAATTGACAAAGGTGGATCGTAAGATTGAAGCTTTTGAATAAACTCGGTGACATTAGAAGTGTTACACCCAGAAAAAATAATTTCTTCAACTTGATTTTTTTGGCAATGAGGTAGTATTTCATCAAGAATGAAACGATAACATTCTCACGAAATTTTATTCACACGTAATAAAAAAAAATTAATAATGTGTTGGGCGACCCCGCAGCTGAATGCGCTCCTATATACGTGTAGGCATCGACAAAATGAGATGATCGATGTTGTTCCAAGGAAGTCGAACTTCGTGAATTAGCTGTGGCAGAGTCTGTGGCGAATCTCGTAGGGCTAGTTGTCTGAAGCACCTATCTTGACGCTCTGTGATACGCTTCTGTGGACCAGTTGGCATTTTTTGTGTTCCTCTACCTTCTTCTATCCACACACGACACACACGCATTATCGTCATTGCAGTACAATTAACACGGCGGTCAATTTCTCGATAGGACAAACCAACATCAAGATAGGCAATAATTCTATCTCTATCAAAATCGCTAACATGGTGATAATTTGGACGTCATCGAACTCGGGGCATTTTTTTATGCTTAAGACTAGTAAATGAAAGGGCAATAATTAAAAATATCGGTACTACTCGGCGCTCAGAAACTACTTTCTTCGCAAAAACAAAGGTAAACAAAAACAAAGATGAAACGTTGACATTGTTACCACAGCATGCTTTAAATATAGTCATTATGTTGCCAAAAAAAACAATTTGAAGAGATTATTTTTTCTGAGTGTAACACTTCGAATGTCACTGACTATGTGTAATAGAAAATCGATAAAATACTTTATATCTAGGTTATAAAAGGAGGTTAATTTAAGAAAGTAGATTTAAAGGGTTTCGGTATTAAAATTAGAGCTCAGATACATCTTTTTGAATAACACATTTAATGATTCAATGTATTTTTTCAGCTACATAAAGAGGTTAAACAACACGTTTTCTCCATCGATGCTTATATTTCACGTCATTGTACTTTTATCGATGTGCATGGAGATGTATCGAGCTTCTACTCAGTAAGTATGGTTATGAAACCATTTTGCTTAGTTCGTTAAGTTCCCTTAAAACATTCTCATTCAATGTGTGTTTGTATGTATCTCTAGATAAAATCAGACTAAATTAAATTATATCAAATGTAGCAATGAAGCATACTGGAACTTGCGTCTATGATTTGGTATCTGTCTCGCGTCTCCTTCAAAGCCGATTTCCGAACGTACCAAGTCAATCGATTTAACAATTGAGTAATGCATCAAACTATACTAAGTGACATATAAATCCGAACAGGCAGTTTAAATGGTTTTATTTTAATAAAATTTTGTATAAGTACTTAATGAAGCATAATAAGTAAATGATAAAAATTTCAAAATGATTGCACTGCTTTAAAACCCTTTGACCTTTAATAATGTGTGGATGCACCCTGATGTGCTACGCATTCTCCAACGCGCCTAGGCATGCTTCTGATCAGGTGTTCAATGTCCTCCTGTGGTATCTCATTCCAGGCAACCACCAACTCCTCTCGAAGTGCGGGTGTCAAGATAAGGTAAAAGATGGGGTTCGAGAACTTCGTGGATATAACGCTGCGCGTTCATGTTACCTCTGATGAAGATTAAAGGTCACCTGGAACCATAAGCTATAGTACCCCAAACCATAACTCCAACAGTGTGATGAACATGTCTTTCAACAAAAAACTGTGGATTCCTCCTTTCACCACGTCGCCTTCTAACCCTGGCACGACCATCGTGCATGCCTAAACAAAATCGAGACTCGTCACTATAGACAAGACTGTTCCATTCCTGATCCCAGAGTGACCGTTGTCTGCACCACTCAAAGCGATTACGTCGGTGTTCTCGAGTTAAAGGGAGGACCCAGTGTGGCCGGTATGAAAACAAGCCAAAACTTCTCATTCGTCGGTAAACACTTCGCATGCCAATAGGTCTTCCGTGTTCTGCAAACCATTCATTTGCAATGGACCTGGTAGTGGAGAAACGGTCCCTTAAGGCCAATAATCTTAGGCGGCGATCTTCACGGTCTGTTGTTCTACGGCAGCGTCCAGTGCCCCTTGCTCTTTGCGTACGGCCTTCTCGAAGCCATGCCTGACAACACCTATCCACAGTGTCTACACTTCTTTGCACTCTAACTGCAATTGCCCGAAAATAAAGTCCAGCTTCCCGAAGTCCCACTATACCTCCCTATCAAACTCACTAAGTTGACGAAATCGTACAGGTCTCCGTACTCTAGGCATCGTAACCTATCGTAAAGGATGTCAAGAACCAAAATCCACCAACGTTGATTCTTTACTGCGGCTGAAATATTCATTTTTAGAGCGTTAGTGAATTAAAAAAAAGCAGTATAAAAACCGGAATATCCAACTGATAAGGCTGAACATTTTTTCACTTGTTATTTACAGTAAGATAAATACATTCACCAACTTTTATTAAAATAAAACAATTTAAACTGGGTGTTCGGATTTATATGTCACTTAGTATATCTCATCTGTTCTTCCAGTCTTTTTACCCTTGTTTTTTTTCTCCCTTTCCTTGTGATGACGATTTGAAGAGTTTGAAGAAATTGAACATGGATTGGACACTTTTAAAAACTTTAAAAAGGGCTTCACAAATAAATGGACCTCAACATCTCTTCAAAAGAACCGATTCGAGAAAGACAGCTAGGCCATGACAAAGTAATAGAGATTTATTGAAACTGTTTTCCACAGACTTGATTTGTTAGCCTGCCTGAGGCCAATGTTGTATTCGGCGTTTGGTTTATTCCAGTTTTTCATATGTTATTGTGCCTATTCACAAGCTTTGATCAATGAGGTATGTATTTCTGGACTTTCAGTTTTTTCTTTAATTTACGGTATGATATTTACAGATCCACCGCCTCAAATTTTAGACAAAATGGCAGAATAAGTAATTTTCTGATCTTAAATTCAAGTATTGCTTGCGATTTTATTTTTGTTATTCAAATAAAACACCGTACACAGAGAAAATACAACATCCAATGAAAGTGATTTCATTTGATTGACATTTTATATACAGTTAGACATAAGCAACAGGACGTCATGATTGAATTTTTAAATTTAAGTGAAACCAGTTGCTGCATCGGTGAATTTCCCTATAATAATGTGTTGGGCCACCTCGATGCCGTACATATTCAGTCCGTCGTCATGAAATATTTTTGAGGTGATTTCAGGTCTTGTATACGATTTTTCGGATGAGCATTTTCGCAACACCGAGGTAGGAAAAATAGGCGCCGGCGTGACTAGAACTGCTCTGACGCGTGTTTGTGGTGAGGTACAGCGGCGGATAAGCAAGAAGCAACCGCATTAGTCTTCTAGACTTTAGTAAGGCTTTTGACACTCTGAATCATAAGCTTTTGATTTCTAAATGTAAACACATTGGATTTGACGATTTGACTCTGAAACTGATAGATTGTTATCTAACTAAACGACATCAATATGTGGTGATACAAACTAATCGTTTTCTTATTTGTTCTGGCGACCCTCAGGGATCCATATTAAGGCCTCTCCTGTTCCTCAAATAACCATACACTTTTGATATCGCAAACACTCTTCAACTTTGATCAAGTCAATCTTAAGCTGATTATATTCAAGTTTTCTATAGTTTTTCTTCTAAGAAGTACCACATTTGTATTTAGAATATATATGTACATATGCCACAGAGCACGATTCATCTTTACTTTTTTGCTCCAAGAAAAGCGTGATTGCCTCAAATCAAAGTTAAACATATTTCTCAATAATGTCTCACATATATGTTCTCATTACGCAAAGAATTTAGGTTGATATTTGGATGAATATGTCGGGTTCCAAGAACATGTTAGTCATGTGTGTTATAGTCTAGTTATCTCAGACGTCTATATGCAAATAAAACTATATTAAATAGAAAAATTACGAAAGTATTATGTGAGTCATTGATACTGAGTAAATTAGCTTACTGCAACATTGTTTATTATCCCTGTCTAGACGAAATAGCAAAATACAGGGCGCCAAGAATTCAAATTAATGCTTCCGCTATATAAACAATTTAAAAGGTACGATCACGTTTCTCACTCAATAGCTTCCATGTGTTGGTTAAAAATATCGAATATTTTCAAATACAACTTTGTCACATTTATCATCAAAATATTAAAAACCTCTGTTCGCTCTTACCTTAGGTAAAAGCTTGTTTATAGGAATTTGATTCACAACTTGAACACGCGCAACAACCATCTACTCACACAGGGCAGCCATATTTCAACGTTCTTTCGCGTACAATGCAGTGAAATTAATTAATTAATTTGACCAAAACTTTATTAGCAACTTTTCAAAAAAAACCTATAGGAATTGTTTATTGGATGCTTAATTATTTTTTATTTTTCTCTCACTCTCCAGTTTCAATTATGTGGTCGTCTTATGTCTCTTCCTGATCCATCGGATTAGTACCAAGGCCGTCTAGGCCCTCTGCTTTTGAATTACATTTTGTCTATTACCTAAGTATTTTCCTTCAGACTAGGTTTTAGGTTAAGGTAGTAAGCTTTATGACATGGTTAAGTATGAATGACCATTAGACAGACGTCGCCATTTACTGTATGTATTTCTTACAATAAAGTCGATCGAATAGAATTGAATTGAATATCTCCCATTCCATGGAGCCGACATAACCAATTATTTTACAATAGCAGCTGAAAACCAACTTTCAGGATCAAATTCAATCATACCTACGCCACTGCTACTTTGTTCTCTCGAGTGGCCTTGGTGACCCATCTGGCGGCGTTCAAGTAAAACAACCGGATTGGTAAGGTATCTCCAAGTGCTCCCTAGTTTCACCACGCCGCCTCGTAGGCACACACCACGGTAGCACTTTGCAAGGACAGTTGTATACAACTTTTTCGATGAGCACATCCGCGACAATCTCCTACCTATCAAGTTGTTGGTTACTATATTTCATGTCTTGTTGAGCTATCGCATTTCAAGCTATTCTCGAGTACGGAAAAGGAAGAGAACAACGGAAAGCATCGCACCTTACTGGCCAAAGGGACGTCGCACCTGCAGTCGCGTGCGATGTGTTTTGCTGCTCTCTTCATCTTCAACTGGCAAAAGACCAGGAAATTTGATAGTCTGTCTATCTTCAAATAAGATAATGACCTTCCAGATATAAGTTAGCCTCCTAGATCTTAAGACCTTTCGCCCATTGAACCTGTGGGGGTGTGATGGGAAAAAGAGTGACCTCTTTAGATCATCCTCTATAAGCGCTATCAGGTATTTGGAACCGGGTACAGCTCGGTTGAGATAAGATATCGTAAGAAGACATAAATCACTTCCTCGAAAACATGCCTCGGCGACTAGACGAATATGTGCGGCATTGTGGTATTAATCACACAAAACATATAAATGTTTTCAATTCAAAAATTAATAAAAGTTCCTCTTGCGTATGAATATCTGTAGGTATACGTATAGAATTTTACTCAAACAAAAATATGTTAGTGAGTATTCTGTTTTCTTCATCACTGAGTAGGAAATTTTGTAGGCGAACGATGTCTCAATCAACATATATTTGAGTGAATGGCACGAGTCACCGAAATATGCGAAATCAATAATGATGATGATTGGAATGGCACAGAGAGAGATAAAAATAACGGCCGGTGGTATTGCTAATATTGACTTCAAAACAGGCCTGGATGTAAGTGCTCTTGAATTATCAAAAGAACGCTCAGCTTACGGATTAAATGATTGGTTTTGGTTAAAGCCTTTCTCTTACACATCTTGCTATGCGAACACTTTGCTCAAGTGCAAGTATTAACTTTATTTTTTACATATGCTCAGCAAAAATGGCGTCAAGTAGGTTGACAGCACTTCTTAAGCAACGCTGTCATCAGTTCATAAAAAAATTAAATGCGGCAAAAGTCGATCTTTCCGAGAAACAGCTACAAACATGTATAACAAAAAAAAATAAATGGATCAGGTCGGTCAATCATGTCCCTAGTCGCTACATATAGACAACTTTGCGATCTAGAAATTTTTCCCCGGCCCTAGCGCCAGTATGGACTATCTGGCAACGTTGCTATGGCTAAACATCGCACGTTAGCTGTCAGCTCTCGACAAAGGTAATGTGCCTACTTTAGTTACATTCGACGCGTGTGTTAAATATATTTCTCTGTAGCATGCCTATAATTGGTGAAGTTAGAAACGTATAAATGAGCTCACGCCAAAAAACTGAGACATACCCTACCCCACCCCCACTTTTTCCTTACCAAAAATAAACAGGTGTCTCTGTAACGTCAAAATATCTTGCCGCAGCTTCGCCGCTACTGAATCGACTTTCACAAACTGCAAAACTTTTTAGTTCTTGGCATAGTCGTAACATTTTTTTCCAAGTTATAGAGAGGCCAGGAATCATCAAACTAACATATCCAATTGCAATATTCCCTCGTTAGTTGACGTGAGAAGTGAGACTGTTTCAACTGTTCAAGAAAAGTGTTTATCATCTGAGTTTGGTAACGGTTCTAACAAACTGAGTGAAAAATGAGTTTTGATAAAAACACACTGCCCCACTGTCTTAAATTATTTCATAGGAAAAGAAGTAATTTTTCTACGCAGCAGACTCACCTACGAAACGAATTTTCTTCCAGATCGAAAATACACAAGAAAATCACAAGCAATACAAAAGGAAACCTTTTTATGGCATGTTGTTACAAGCAAACTAAGCTTAGTACACCTGAGTAACTTCGGGTGGTAAATTTTAATAAAACCGTCCAAAAGTTCTGTAGCTCATGATGCGTGTAAATAGTCAGAAGTGGGTGAGTGATTTTTAAAGTTTTTTTTTCAGACATTGAAGACAATGGTATCTTACTGTATGTTTCTGAGAACAATGGTCAACAATGCTTGAAAACCACACGTCGGTGGACACGTCAAACTATTCCAGGACTGTTCTGATGTACAAGCTATGGTATGATATACATATTATACCAAATGTTTTGTTATGCAGATTGTATTTACTTTTGGTCTATCAGAAATAAAAACATATACCAGAGATAAAATCAATTGTACGTGTTATCAACGTAAGATCTAGCAATATCTATTATTTGTACGGCTTCAGTAAACTCTAATTACAAAATTTATTATTGTTTCGATCTGTAACTCCGTTAATTTTAAAGATATCTAAAAAAGATATTCACAAAAACTATAAGCAACTATAAGCTGCTCACTTGGTACTCATACATATTTGTACAATTTTATTCATAACTACGTGGCAACACAAATGTGATATCTTGAATGGAATACCCTGCATGCTCTATTTTTTTCTGTCGCCTTCAAAGGAAGAAGTTTGATATAGATGACATAGAAAATGCATCACCGACTAGGAGTGCTGTAATTTTGAGTATACTTTTACAAATTTCAGGTCTGCTGATAAATAGAAAGTGATTGAAATTTTAACTCGAAATTTCGCAAAATAGCTGAGATATCTCACCTTAATGTTAATCATGTGTTGAAGCTCCTCTGTTCGCTACACATTCGTTAAGTCGTAGCGGCATTGATTGGAATAGGGGCTTAATTCTAAATGAGTTTCGACCATTGAAATTGATTTCGATGGTGCCTTGTGACGAATCGAGTATTCGCTATGATAATTTTAACATCTGATTATATTGATCTTCTATATTCAAATTATCATGGCAGTGTCCAAATTATCATAGCTAATCAAGTATATCGTCACACGGCGCCATCTAAATCAATTTCAACGGTCGAAACTCATTTAGAATCAAGTCCCATGTAATTGATGTCTTCTTGGTGTATTGTAATCCCAGGCCATCTGAATTTGGTTTCGTAGAGCCTCCAATGTTTGTGGAGAGTGTGGTGAATTTTGCAACCTTCTTCCCATCATATCCCATACATGTTCGATGGGGAAGGGATCTGGAGATCGAGGAGGCCACTGAAGCAGATTTACTCCGGACGTTTCTAAAAACTCTAAACTAACACGTGCGACATGAGGTCGTGCATTGTCCTGCAGAAAAAGTGGATCTTACAATGTTTCCAAAAACGGAAGCAGATGTGGCTGTGAAACTTCGGAGATATAGCGCTGGGCAGCCAAGCTACCTCAAATGAACACTAATCGTGACCTGCTGCCGTAAGCAATGGCACCCCACATTGGACCTTCCGTATTTCACCATGTCTCCTCCTTACTCTTGCCATCATGCATGCCCAAGCAGAATCTTGACTCGTCGCTGAACACGACTGAATTCCATTCAAGTTTCTCTCTCCATACCAATCGTTGCCGATGATGCTGTGGGGTCAGAGTTAATAGAAGATGAGGACGGTATGAATACAGTCCAAAAGACCTTATTCGGCGATAAACTGTCCTGATTGTTATTGCCCTTCCGTTAACATCAAACCACTGACTCGCAACTGCCCTTGTTGTTGAAAATCGATCTCCAAGTACTACTTGCCTCAAATAACGATTCTGCCACTCCGCAGTCTGTCTTTGACGTCCAGTAGGTACCTCTAACTCATCGATTTAAGCCTTCTTGGAACCACGCCGACAACATCTCATTCAGTAGCTTCGTTTCGATTCACCCGATTAGCGATTATACGACCCCTCTTAAACTCGGAAGTTGCGTGAAATTAGTGCGTCTGCGAACTCCAGGCATGATAATGCAATGAAACAACAATTAAACAAATATGGAAGCAACACATACAAATCACTGAATATTGCGTAACCATGTTCATATTGTTCGGATCCTGATATGACAAAAAACCTTTACAAAAAAGTACGGCTTGGAATGCCTTCAACTTCTGATCAGCGTATACTTCTATAATAGCAAATAACGTATGTTTTTTTATCAAAATTCAATAATTAATTCTGGGTGTTGCATTTCATATGTCACTAAGTCTACTAAGTGACATATAAATCCGAACACCCAGTTTAAATGGTTTTATTTTAATAAAAGTTGGTGAATGTATTTATCTTACTGTAAATAACAAGTGAAAAAATTTTCAGCCTTATCAGTTGGACATTCCGGTTTTTATACTGCTTTTTTTTAATTCACTAACGCTCTAAAAATGAATATTTCAGCCGCAGTAAAGAATCAACGTTGACGGATTTTGGTTCTTGACATCCTTTACGATCGTTTACGATGCCTAGAGTACGGAGACCTGTACGATTTCGTCAACTTAGGCCCGTATCGTCAGTCGTCCCTACAATTGTAGGGAGCGTTTATGGCCTTGATTGTCATACTCCTTTCTCTCCTTCAAAAATTTCTAGATTACACTTGTCCCGTGTCAGCGTCAACGCCCTCCTATTGTGAAGATATGTTTTCTTTTTAAATTGTAGAAAATTTCAGGCTGATAAAACATGATATAACTCAAAAGCAAGCACAATTTGATGCAAATAGATGTTTGTGACATAACCTCAAAATAGAGAGCTGACACGGAGAAGTAGAAAACTATGACAATCAAGGAAGCCATAAAGGCGCCCTACAATTGTAGGGACGACTGACGATACGGGCCTTAGTGAGTTTGATAGGGGCCGTATAGTGGGACTTCGGGAAGCTGGACTTTCTTTTCGGGCAATTGCAGTTAGAGTGCAAAGAAGTGTAGACACTGTGGTTAGGTGTTGTCAGGCATGGCTTCGAGAAGGCCGTACGCAAAGAGCAAGGGGCACTGGACGCCGCCGTAGAACAACAGACCGTGAAGATCGCCGCCTAAGATTATTGGCCTTAAGGGACCGTTTCTCCACTACCAGGTCCATTGCAAATGAATGGTTTGCAGAACACGGAAGACCTATTGGCATGCGAAGTGTTTACCGACGAATGAGAAGTTTTGGCTTGTTTTCATACCGGTTTTCATACCGTCCTCCCTTTAACTCGAGAACACCGACGTAATCGCCTTGAGTGGTGCAGACAACGGTCACTCTGGGATCAGGAATGGAACAGTATTGTCTTTAGTGACGAGTCTCGATTTTGTTTAGGCATGCACGATGGTCGTGCCAGGGTTAGAAGGCGACGTGGTGAAAGAAGGAATCCACAGTTTTTTGTTGAAAGACATGTTCATCACACTGTTGGAGTTATGCTTTGGGGTGATATAGCTTATGGTTCCAGGTCACCTTTAATCTTCATCAGAGGTAACATGAACGCGCAGCGTTATATCCACGAAGTTCTAGAACCCCATCTTTTACCCTATTTTGACACCCTGGCAGATCCAACTTTCCAACAAGATAATGCCCGACCACATGTTGCAAGAGTCACAATAGACTTCTTTCAACATAATGATGTCACATTGTAACCATGGCCACCAAGATCTCCCGACTTATCCCCAATTGAGCACGTATGGCATATGATGGGTAGGAGATTGCTCTATTTGCAACGTCCTCCTCAGACTCTAGAAACACTTCGAGAGGAGTTGGTGGTTGCCTGGAATGAGATACCACAGGAGGACATTGACCACCTGATCAGAAGCATGCCTAGGCGCGTTGGAGAATGCGTAGCACATCAGGATGCATCCACACATTATTAAAGGTCAAAGGGCTTTAAAGCAGTGCAATCATTTTGAAATTTTTATCATTTACTTATTATGCTTCATTAAGTACTTATACAAAATTTTATTAAAATAAAACCATTTAAACTGGGTGTTCGGATTTATATGTCACTTAGTATATATATATATATATACAAGGTGTCCAATAAGTAC